AGTTATGTAAATTACAAGGTATGCAAATTCAAAGTATGCAAATTACGAGGTATGCAAATACAGGGTATGCAAATTATAGGGTATGCAAATTACAAGGTATGCAAACTACAGGGTATGCAAATTATAGGGTATGCAAATTACAAGGTATGCAAATACAGGGTATGCAAATTATAGGGTATGCAAATTACAAGGTATGCAAACTACAGGGTATGCAAATTATAGGGTATGCAAATTACAAGGTATGCAAATTCAGGGTATGCAAATTATAAGGTATGCAAATTATAAGGTATGCAAATTACAAGGTATGCAAATACAGGGTATGCAAATTATAGGATATGCAAACTACAGGGTATGCAAATTATAAGGTATGCAAATTAATTTTTTTCCTTGTGTTTATTTTTTCAGCTTGCATTTCGTTTTTCTCAAAATGAAATTGAGGAAATGATGTCCAAAGTTATTGAAGCTGTCAACATACCTAATACAGGAGTTAGTGCACAGATAAGTACGCATAGTGTCTATGTGAAGGAGATGGAGTGTCTGACAACTAACTACCTCTATAGGACAGCAAAGCAGTATGATCTGAATAATGTCATAGAAGTAAGAAATTATTTTTAACAGACCACCCAAAAAATATGCACATGTCTTGAAAATCAGACATGAAAGTCACACAAATTGAACTTTAATATAGTTGACGTTTTCAGGGATTGTTTAAATTTCAAAGGTTGGATGTGATCAGATATAAATTGTTTGACTTATTGTAACTATATACAACAAGAAGACAATTTTAAATAACATTTTTTCAAATATTTTTCTAAAATAAACAAGCGAATCATGCCACTAGATTTCACACTGATTAATATGAAATTGTAACCACAAGAAACAGAGTTAACGACTGGGACAACAATAACAATGACGACGAGGCAGGCATTTTAATCTACTTCCTTTCTCTTGTTTAAGATTACATGCAAGATAATAATTCTACTTCAATTGGTGAAAATGTTTTATTAACAACTGCATTTGTTTTTCTCACAGAAAGTCAGCGAGCAGTTGTTCTCAACACTACATGATTACCCAAGCCTACGCATGTCTTCTGGCATAAAATCCTTCATCGGCACCTGTGTTCGTGTTGCTTGGCAACTGAGCACACATTCACCTCCGTACATCTTAGACTATGATCATAAAGATTTCAACGACCAATTACATCAAAGATTCCATCGTAATGATACAAACAAAAAGATAAAGGGTTATCTTTGGCCCGCTCTGCTCGATGCAACTACTCTTAAATGCGTACATAAGGGTATAGTCATTACAGAGAAATCAGAAAGCGACGATGAATTATGTGATACGAAATTATGATATATGTTGAAAATCCTCGAACAACAACAAAACGAGGGTATTGCTTCTACTGCTAATGATGATGATAATAATGATGATGATGATGATAATGATCATGAGTATTTTTAAGCATAATTGTACACAATTGTTTTTACCAAACTTTTTGTGTGTTTGTATTTCCAAGACCGAGCACATAAAGACATGTGCATTGCTGTGAATACAATCTGGATTTTATTGTCAAATGTCAATTCAACTTAATTATCTCCATATCTGGGAAATTTTACTTTTTGGGACAATGCCCATTGTCCAATGTCAGACTACAATTCAAAAATTGAATTACTGGTACAAATTTTATTATTTGTCATCAGAAACACCAACAACATACGCTTACATGCAATATTACCCAGTTACCTAACCCAATATACTCGTAGAATCATGTGATTATACAATTTTTTGATCTTGTTATCCTGTATTTTGACCTTTTACTAATTTGAATTTGACTGTGTGATTGACATATTCTAATTTGAATATCCTGGCTAATAAAAAACAGTAATTATGTAACACTGTTCATTGGCACTAATGTGGCGATTGAGTTTAATATTCTCCATCTATTTAGTACTCTCGTTGATGTGTTGTGTAACAAGTTGTTACTTATTAAGCCACCAGGTCTTTCAGGATAACATATCGTGTATCTTTGTACTACTGTATATATTTGTAAATTTTGCTAAATTGGAAACGTATTGAAAATTTAAAGGG